AGTAACAGTTCTTGGGATAATTATTTATTATAAAAATTTTAGAGAAAGTTATATTTTGTTAAAAAAAATTATTACAAAACATATGCAAAGTCATTTTTTTGTTTTGGAAGAGTGAACGTGGAGGTAGCACCAACGCAAATAATATATAAAGGATATTATTTCTTCAAGTTTATCTGAGATGTTTCTAAAATGTATTTTTAAGTGGAAAAGAAAATGAGATTTTTTTTTCTTGATTAAAATAATCATCTATAATTAAAAAAAAAACCATAACTAGTATTTTTTTTGAGACACTTTTGGTGTGTACATTTTCAAGAATGTCACTTAAGATTGTCCATTTGTAAAAATATCACTAATTATGGATTTTGAAAACCTAAATTTTAAAATTATAAACCCTAAAAAATATTTTGACCTCTAAAACTCTTTAAACTCTCAAAACTAAACTCTAATATAATATAGTTAACCCAAACATAAATGATATAATAAATTTTTTTTTTTGAAAATATGGTATTTTTAAAAAATGACATTTTTTAAAATTCTCTATTTTTAAAGAGGGATAAATAAATTATTATCTAGTACAATACGATTTTGTTTATGTACATAAATAAATTATTATCTAGTACAATACGATTTTTAAAGAGGGATAAATAAATTGTTTATGTACTTTTCATTTTGGTTAAATATATGAAAGGCCAACTAAATCTACCCAAGTTGAGCCTAATTATGAGAAAGGTAAAAGGTAAATCTGTTGTGTCCCTCGGGGAGATTAAGGTTTTGTCAAAACAAAATCAGATCAAATTAAGCCCTGAACCCTACACCCTTAACCAATCATATTTTAGCTATTCAGACAAGAACTTAACCAAGCATATTCTAACGTATGTTGTTCATACAAAAACTTCACCAAACATACTTTAACGTACGTTGTTCATACAAAAACTTAACCAAGTATACTTTAACGTACGTTCATACAGAAACTTAATAAGAAAAACCCAGGTAATAAAAGCAAGTTGCATTGTATCACAAGTTAAATATTAAACACCACCAAAGTGCTTCCTTCATCTTCTTTTATCAGTCGTCGTAAGAGAAGGTAATCTTCGTACCGCAGAATCCGTCCATCTTAGGTTTCTTCAGGTTTGGTTTGGTTTCCAAATAATATTCTCCAAATCGTCGAAGGTAGTCTTCGTTCCTGGAATAACAAAAGCCCTTGTGATCTCTCCATGATGCATATCAAAAACTTCACGCAGTGTGCTCTTGATAACAAAACTCTAAAGGCAAATAAGTTAAATCCCTTACCAAAGCTTCTCTGCAAGGTTGTACCTAATTAGCAAAAAAAATATTACCATTAATCATATGTAATGACATCAAAACCATAGCAATAAGTTAAAGAAACAAAACTCCATATGGAAAATCAATTTACTTGGGTCGGAGAAGGTATGGAGGTGTCTTAACCACATCAATAAAAATCTTACGATTGCATTCACCATTCTTCTTTTCCAGCACCTACAGTATCAAAGATACTTTAATTGGAGCAATCGTACTTTCAAATAACTACATGTTTCATCACAAGTATACACTACTTTTCAAATGACTACTTAAATACTTTTTTCATAATTACTACAAAACAACTCTAACCTTCTTTGCTTCGTTAGCAGAAGCAAACTCAACAAAGCCACAGCCTACATGCTCACCCCTGTGGTTTACAATAAGTCGAACACGAACAACTTCATGTTTGAAGAACTTTCTGATGCTGTAAAAATGCAGGAAAAAATGAGTCATGAAAATTTTGCTCCGAGAACAAAAGAAGAAATTTAAGGTGCTACTTACATATATGATATTTCAGGTTTGCAAGGGAGATTGGCAATAAAGAGAGTCTTTTTTCTTAAAGCAACTTCCTGAATTTAACGGCCAAGTGTGTTAGCACGACTCAAAGCACATAACAGCAAAAAGTAGATTCATCCCAAGTCATCTTTCAACTTTGTGGCAACACTTGTGTTATGAAACACTGAGCCGGCCATATTTTTAAGATAAATAAAAGAAGAGGTACCTCAACAAGATGGGGAATTTCATCAAGTCCTTCCACTGCCTCATCTTCTTTTATCAGACGGCTTTCTTGTCGAAGGTAGTCTTCGTACCTGGAATATCAAAAACCCTTGTGATCTCTCCATGTATACCAATGAAAAACACAAGATGCAAAGAGTTAAATCCCTTACCGAACCATGTGATCTATGCAATACCTAATTAACAAAAACAATAGCGTTAGTCTTCTGTGGTGGCATCAAAACTCTAGCAGTTAGTTACATAAATAAATCTCCTTAACATGGAAAACCAATTTACATGGGTCGCGGAGGGTATGGAGCTGTCGCAGCAACATCAAGAAAAATCTTACAATCGTGCAAATATTCACCGTTCTTCTTTTCCAGCGCCTACAGTATAAAAAGTATACACTACTTTTTCAAATGAAAACAAAAATACTTTTCATCATTATATAAACTACTCTCTCTTACCCTCTTTGATTCGTTAGCAGAAGCAAACTCAACAAAACCATAGCCTTCATGCTTGCCCTTGCGATTTACAATAAGTCGAACATGAACAACTTCTCCAACATCTTTGAAGAAATTGATTCTGTAAAAAATGGAGGACTAAAATATTAGTCATTAAAAACTTGATCGAAGAACGAATGAGGAAATTAAAGGAAAGGTGCTACTTACATATGCGATATTTCAGTTTTGTAAGCGAGTTGGGCAATAAAGAGAGTCTTTTTTCTTACGGCAACTGCCTGAATTTAACAGCGCCACGTGTGTTAGCATAACTTTTAAGGAGAAAAGGACTTTAATAGCATAACAGCAAAAAGTAGCCTCAGCCCAGAATAAGTCCATCATTCGACTTTGTGGCAACATTTTTGTTATTTTGAAGATAAATAAAAGAAGAGGTACCTCAACAAAATCAGGAGTTTGGTCAAGTCCTTCCACAGTCTCATCTTCTTCTATCAGAAGGCTTTCTCGTCGAATGTAGTCTTCGTAACTGAAATATCAAAAACCCTAGTGATGTCTCTATGTATGTATACCAAAAACTTTACTCAAGGGGCAAATAGTAAAATCCCTTACCAAAGCTTTTCGGGAAAATTGTACCTAATTAACAAAAACAACAGCGTTAGTCTTCTGTAATAGAAGTCAAAACTCTAGCAATAAGTTACATAAACAAATCTCTATAACATGGAAAATTAATGTACTTGGGTCGTGGAGGGTATGGAGCTGTCGTAGCGACATCAAGAAAAATTTTACACTCGTGCAAATATTCGCCGTTCATCATTTGCAGTGCCTACAGTATAAAAGATCTAATCAGTAACAAATAACTAGTTGGATGTATTACTAATACATATTTCATCATTACAGGGCTTCAAATCAAATCTCACCTCCTTTGCTTCGTTAGAAGAAGCAAACTCAACAAAGCCATAGCCCACATGCTTAGCCTCCTGGTTTACAATAAGTCGAACACTGACAACTTCTCCAGCATTTTTAAAGAATTTGATGCTGTAAAACGTGGAGGAAAAAATATCAGTCATGAAAAAATGGAAACGAGAACAAAAGTGGAAGTTCAGGGTGCTACTTAAATATGTGACATTTTAGCCTGGAGAGAGAGATTGGCAATGAAGAGTACATTCTGAATCCAACAGCCAAGTGTGTTAAGCACGACTCTTAAGGACTTAAAAATTGCATAACAAGAAAAAGTAGATTCATCCCCAGAGTAAGCCATCCTTCGACTCTATGGCAACTCAAACACCAAACGGTTTCTCTTCTGACATAATTTGAAGATAACAAGAAGAGGTACCTCAATAAAATCGGGAGGTGTCTCGTCTTCTTCTATCAGAAGGTCTTCTTGTCTGCATAATCCGTCCATCTTAGGTTCGGTCTCCAAATGATATTCTTCTAACAGAGGGCTTTCGCGTCCAAGGTAGTCTTCTTCGTACCTGGAATATCAAAAACCCTTGTGATCCACCCAATGTGCTCTTGATAACAAAGACAAAATGCAAACAGTCAAATCCCTTACCAAACATTGTACTCTAAGCAATACCTAATTAACAAAAAAATTAATAGCATTAGTCTTATGTAATGGCATTAGCAGTAGTAAGTAACAAGCAAATCTCCAAAACATGGAAAATCAGTTTACTTGGGTGGGTATGGATTTATCTTAGGCAGTTCAAGTAAAACCTCACTATCCTGCAGATATTCACCGTTCTTTTCCAGAGCCTACATACAGTAGTCAGCAATGGTACTAGTAGCAAGTTTTTCGTCACACTAATTTCATTTTTTTTTTCAACAGTCGTATATAAACTGCTCTCACCTTCTTTGCTTCGTTAGAAGAAGCAAACTCAACAAAGCCACAGCACCTACTCCTCTGGCCCTTGCGGGTTACAACAAGTTGAACCCGAACAAGTTTTGCAACATTTTTGAAGAACTCGACGCTTTAAAAGAGGAGGATAAAGTATTAGTCCTGGAAAAAAACATTTGCTCAAGTGGAAATTTAAGGTGCTACTTACATATCTGATATTAGAACTGATATTTCCGTTTGGAAGGGGAGATGGCCAATAAAGAGGGTGTTTTTTACTGCGGCAGTGTTTGTTATTACGGCAGATTCCTGAATACAGCCAAGACTCAAAAGATTTAAGTTGCATAATAAGAAAAAGTAGATTCATCCCCAGACTTTCTGGCAAAACTTATGTTATTAAACAAAAAAAAAAGGAGGTACCTCAACAAAATGGGGAGTTTGATGATCAAGTTCTTCCACAGTCTCCTGTTACATGAGTAGACATTTTGCGGATAATAAGAACAAGAGCTTAATTGAACATAAACGCGTGCAATATATATGTGACAAAGAGCAGAATATAAAAAAAGTATACCTTCACTGAGAGTAATAAATTAGCTTGATCAGACTTTGTCTCCAACAACTCAACACTTCCTTTGATCTGCTCAGCAAATTCTTTCGTTGTGTCCTGTTATGAGTAACCATTAGAAGTCCTAGAGTGAAGAAAATTGTTTCAAAGGAACAAGAGGATTCCGACCATCTTAGGTTACCTTCTCCTCGGAGAGTTCCTTATGTTTCCTCACAAAAAAGGGTCTGGTATCCAAACCATCTTCCGGCTTTCGCTTACCTAAAAGAAAGAAGAGCAGCAAAATCTAAAGTTAAAATCAACAACAAAGCAACTGCGTATCAAAACATTAGATAAGAGAGAGCCACCAGAAACAAACCCAATAAATTAACTGATCTCATGCTGGAACTGGCCATGGAGATGATGAAAACAGCGGGAGACGATTTATACTCCGGCAAGAGTTGAGGGCCGCAAGGGCGAAGCCAGAAGGTATTTATGGAAACAATAATCTGAA